GGGATGTATGTGCTTAACCAATATCATACATGCTTTTAAAATTCAAAAGCACTGAGTGGCATACAAACGCCACTGAGGCATAGCCAGTTAAGCTGCTGCCCGAGCTACTGGCATTCTATATGGACACCACTTTATGTCCAGGCTGCTCCATTTCCATCTTCTTGCTAATGCACCCAAGGAAAGGAACAGAAGATGGCCCAAGTGTTTGGGCCCTTGCACTCACATAGGAGGCCCAGATACAGTTTCTGGCTTTCACTTGGCCTTGCTCCAGCCATCCCTCGCCATTTGGAGAGTGAACCAGCAGACCAAAGATCTCTGTCTCTCCCTCCCTGTCACTTTCAAATATTTAAAAGCAAATACCGAAAACTCAGAGCCCACATGTCTTTACCAGGCAGAGCTCCTCCTTGTTCGCTCACTCCCTAAATGCTCACAAAAGCCCAGGCTGGGACTGTGGCATTGGAGCCATACTTCACTGCCTCTACAGACCCTATCAGCGCACAACAGTCAGAAGCCAGATCCAGGAATCACCTGGGCCTTCAGGTCTGGGAGGTCTCTCAACTGGCCTGAGACCTGCCCTGAACTGCAGCCGTTTTGACTACTGAACCTTACACCTGTCGTGGATCTTCAGTTGCTTGAAGACCCTGTGCCAATGGCAACACATTAAGAATTCCTTCCTCTTTGCTCCTGACGTCAGTGAAGACTGGCCACATCACAGAGAGGATGTGCCGTCCCCACACAGCACTTGAGAGGCCTGGACTTAAGGATCAGCGATGCCTGGTGCCACAAGCAGCTGGAAGTGTCTGCCCTTGCCAAAGTCAACACGCTGCCAGATGAAGCTGTGGACTGAAAGCGCTTGCTGCATACCAGCAAATGCAATGAGGCAAACCTTACTAGTGAGGGCCCTGACACTCAGCCACAAAGAATGTTAATTAGTGTTGGCAATCCCCTTTGCAAACTCAAAGTTTATTTTAATTGAGTTTATTAGAAGTAAACAAATTTTACTATTTTTTTCAAATGAAGGAACATGCTCAATGCATGCTATTTTGGCAAGAATGAAACGCTGTACCTGAACCCTTAGCCCAAAACTACAGTCCCATGTAATGACTTATGCTCCAATACTGACGCTCTTTTCTGTAGCTTTGTTTGGCTTAGTGGACTCTACACAAAGCACCAAACCCAGGAAGGAAACACTGAAAGAATCTGGACAGGACAAGAGCCAGCAATGAATGGCCACTATCATAAAAGGATTGTTTTTTAATTCTAGAAAAAGCTTTAGTTGCAATAAAAATTCACTTACTTGGAACATAGTTTGTACCTCAAGTTATTCAATGTGTTTAGTAATCTTAGACCTAATGGAAAAACCTTTCATATGAAAAAACCTTGAAAGACCAATTTTAACATATTGCCACATAACAAAAAGCAAAACATTTTAAGCCAAAGCCTCCTTTTAACATTTTTATATTATCATCTGCAAACCCATTTTCAGTATTTACAAGAGCCTTTGAAGGGACATGCATGATGACCCGATTGGCTAACCCTTCACTTGCAAGCACTAGCATCCCAGATCTGCACTGGTTCATGTCCCAACTGCTGCACTTTGCATCCAGCTCCCTGCTTGTGGCCTGGGAAAGAAGTGAAGGATGGCCCAAAGCCTTGGGACCCTGCACCCATGTGGGAGACCCGGAAGAGGCTGTTGACTTCAGATCAGCTCAGCTCCAGCCGCTGCAGCTATCAGGAGAAACCAATAGATCTTTCTCTTCTTTCTGTAAATCTGCCTTTCCAATAAAAAATAAACAAATCTTTAAAGAAAAGCTTTTGAAAAGTCACAATATATTTATCAAAAGCTGGGGAAGCTGTCCAACAAGGGCTGGAAGGCCAGGGACAGCGACACAAGCAGGCAGCAGTTAGCTAGAACTGCTTCCCTTGAGCAGTCGAGCACGCCGCCATTTTAACGAGGTGACATCAAAGCGAAGGGCAAGGTCATCAGGGCTCATTCAACTCAGGCAGCAGCAATGCCTACAAGCACACTGCTCAGCACCAGATAGTCTTAGATTTGGATACACTTAAATGTACCTTCTGAAAAATCACCTGGTTTAAAATAAACAATAAATCCCCAAATAATCTTTGTTTTTATAACAACTGCACTGGATGTTCAAACAGCAACAGTGCATTTGCAAGGAGCTGAACTAGAACTGAACTGAGCTGAACTATTCCACACCATGTCCTTAAAGACAGGGAAAGGGACAGAAGACATGAGCAGGATAAAGTACTCATTCTAACAGAAGCAATTTAAACAGCGAACCTCATGGGTCTCCAAAAGGCCAAGAAACATGGCTACGGATCTCTTCTCCCCATAGACCAAGACTATGAAGACTTAACCAACAAACTTAACAAGTTTTACAATGTCAATCTTACCAGCTGTCAGATGTTACAATCTTCATTTGCTTTACATTAGCAACACAGGTCAAAACGTTGCCTTGGGAGTCCACTGGAACCCTTTCCAACTATGCCAAAAACACTCAGCTCTTGGAGTCCAAGCTGTGGTGCAGCAAGTGAAGCTGTTGCCTGCAACACCGCATCGCACGTGAGCACATTTGAGACCGGCTGCTCCTCTTCTAGTTCAGCTCCTTGTAAATGCACTTGGGAAAGCAGTGGAAGGAGGGGGCTTCAAACCCCCATGGGAGACCTCCAAGGACTTCCCGACTCCTGGCGCAGCCCCAGCGGCATGAACCAGCAATTAAAGTGGATGGATCTCTCTGTGCCTCTCCTTCCAACTTTGGTTTCAAATCTTCAATATATTTTTTAATAGCATAAAGTCCTTTAGAAAGAGAATCCCAATACAAACACTTCAAAGCAGTTTTGGAAAAATGGAACTAAAATTAGTTTATTTGAGAAAAAATTTTGAAAATCACGCAGCTTTTCATGTCATGCATTTTCCACAACTTTTGACAAACCCTCATATTTTCAGCAAGTATCATAGAAATATTGACAGATTTTTATAAACAGCCAATTTTACCCAGCTCAAGAAAATACTCAAAGAAGCTACCTAAAATAGCGAATCCTTATGTTACTACAAGTGTTGTAAGAGTATTAATAAAGTGCTGGAAAATGCTCAGATGATCATGTTATGTAGGTTAAGAAGATCCAAAACCCAGTGATACTTCTTTTTTAAAGTATGTATGTGAGGCCCAGTGTGATGACCTAGCGGCTGAAGTCCTCACCTTGCATGCACCAGGATCCCATATGGGCGCCGGTTCTAATCCCAGCAGCCCCACTTCCCATCCAGCTCCCGGCTTGTGGCCTGGAAAGCAGTTGAGGACCGCCCAAAGCCTTGGGACCCTGCACCCGCGTGGGATACCCAGAAGAAGTTCCTGGATCCTGGCTTCGGATTGGCATAGCATCGGCCATTGCGGTCACTTGGGGAGTGAATCATCAGACGGAAGATCTTCCTCTCTGTCTCTCCAACTCTCTGTATATCTGACTTTGCAGTAAAAATAAATAACAAATCTTAAAAAAATATATATGCACATAAAGGACATGAAAAATGCCAGTCATCCAGGTATGGGCTCTGGGCCCAGTGAGGAAGATAGTGTTGGAGTCTTGGGCTGTTTCCATTCCAGCCTCCTAGTAAATGCACAACTCCAAGGCAGCAGACGACTCCAGTGGCTGGGACCAAACACCCATAGGGGAGACCTAGGCTGAATCCTTGCTTCCCGACCTGTCTGACCCAACTCCAGCTGCTGTGAGCATCTGGAGAGCGAGCAGAGGATGGGAGAGCTGTCTGCCTGCCTACCTTTCAAATAAACCAGTAAAACCATTTCTTTAAAATGTTACTCATCACTGAATGGATGGCAAAAACACAGGCTTCTACAGCATGTGGCATTTTGTAATGCCCGAGTCAATTACCGTATTTTTAAAATGTTAAGCCTTGAAAAAAAAAACAATGTTAATTAAGCTTTGGGCCTGGCGTAATAGCATAGCAGCTAAAGTCCTCGCCTTGAATGCACCGGGATCCCAAAGGGGTGCTGGTTCTAATCCTGGCAACCCCGCTTCCCATCCATCTCCCTGCTTGTGGCCTGGGAATGCAGCTGAGGATGGCCCAAAGCTTTGGGACCCTGCACCCATGTGGGAGACCCAGAAGCTCCTGGCTCCTGGCTTCAGACTGGCTCAGCTCCAGCCGCTGCAGGCGCTTGGGGAGTGAATCATTGGACGGAAGATCTTCCTCTCTGTATATCCGCATTTCCAATAAAAATAAATAAATCTTAAAAAAAAGTCTCAAAATTACTGATTTCCATGAATAAACTTAACATATCAAATGAAGAATAAAAGTACTTGCTTCTAAACATGTTCTTAAAAAAAAGATCCTTCATACACATGTGCAGCTAAACTAATCTACACAGGCCTACATTATTGACCAACATTTTCAAACAATGTTTTTGCGGGGAAGAACCTTAAGAATGTGGTTACTTGGTTATCCAGAATTGGTGGCAGAATAAGCAAGAAAATCCAAAGTAATTTCAACAACTTTCTAGCTTAGCATATCTGTTAAAATCACAAGATAAAATTACCTTTGGCCATTCAGATAGCAATTTCAGAACCTTGCCCTGTGCCTCAAGTTAATTAACAAGAGTTAACTGTTTGATATTAGTTCAAGACTAACAGTAGCTAACATTCGTTGGGTGCTTACGTGCAAACACGACTGTAGCTGACCAAGTAGGGACATAACCCTCCTGAGGCAGCTGCCACAACTGAAGCCCAAAGTCACAGAGCTGCTAAGTGGGGCCAAGTCAGGACTGGCATGGGGTACTTGGAAGTCTGACTACAAGCCAAAAGCCAAGACTCTTCACAATTAGGGCTCTGAAATCAAAAATTCACTTCTTTTTCCTAAATAGGGGGAAAAATGGTATTTTAAGCAGTAATTGTTCCACAAAATGCAGGCAGGGGGAGGAAAATGCCAGACCTTGTGTCCAGAGGCCAACCATGCATCCAGATCATAAAACATGACGTTACCACACAGCTGAACAGGAGTAACTGGGGTTTCCCAATCTAGAGCTGAAGCAGACACATTAAGATTTTTTGATTTGCCAGATATTCTTTTAATGAGAATTATAAAAGACCAAAAACATATTTTTTTTTGCAAACTGTCTTTTTAAACAAATGATTTGCTTTTAATTACAAATACTGTGTATGACGATGCCTTTCTTTTGCAAAACCAATAAATACAAGAACAAATTTTGAACATGTGATTTGTCTACAACATTTGGGGAAAAAAAAAACAAAACAAAAACCAGCCTGATTTATATGAACCAGAATTTATTCCCTAACTTGTCAAGGAGTACTTTGAAGGTATGATTCAAAGCAAAGAAAAAGAGTGAAAGGAGAAAAACCATCTCAGAGTTGCTTCAGTTGCTTTTGATAATTTTTCTGATGTCACCTTTCTATTTTGGAACTCCTCTCTTCACAAAGCAAAACTGTTTCCAATGAACTAATGATTAATGGGGGAAAAGAAAATACGTATGTAACACAAACTTCACCATGAACAATTATGTTTATCAAAGACACTAACTTTAAAAAGGTACCAAAAAAGGTGAAGAAAAACCTGAATTACAGAAAACAAAGTTTATTTATTTAATGAAAAACTAAAATTAATAAAAATTAGCAAATACACATACACACACACACACACAGAGAGAAACACAGCAGCACTATGTAATGACTGACAAAGGGGGAAAAGCGGTGGTCTGAGACCACTCAGATGGCTTGTCAGTTAGGGAGAGACAGACAGACAGACACACACACGCACACACACACACACACACCAAAACAAAAAGCCCAACGTTTTTCAACATTACAATCAATCTACAACAAACACAAAATTCAGAATTCTTTTACAATGCTTTTCTTAATACAAAAGATGCCCATGTTGGGTGTATATATATATATTTTTTTCAGTGGTTTACTGTTGACTTATTTTTAAATATATTAGTGTTACTACATGCAACTGTTTCCTGTATTTAACAGCCTTTCTTTTTATTTACCTTCATGTGTCTAGCTTCCACCTATCCAAAGAGTTTCAGGTGATAGGCAGATATGGCTGCCTTGCTCTCTGTGAAACTGAATGCAGGTTTTAAACACTGGCCAGAAAAATGCCTGATTGCCATTTCAACACATGGAAATAGTTACATTGATGCCTAAATTGCCATTTTCTGCAAAAAGCTGTGCGATGCTGGTGTCAAACACTAGGCAGTCACTATTCATAATGGCTGTCGCAATTCCCTCATGAATAGACCGAGGAGTCGCTTCCCAAGTCAATCGCCGCCTATGACCATTTAGCTCAAGTCGATATGCAAAATTTTCAGCTTGCTTGCGTGTTCCTATCAGCTGTACAATTGCGAAGAACTGCTGGTGACCATCATATTTTTCCTGTTTCTCCAAGACTAACATGAAGTGAAAGCCAAAACAGGACTGCATCATCACCCAGTCAACAGCACCTGGAAGATTAATGTCTGTAGCAAGGAAAACTATATCCTCTCCCTGTAGGGTTGTAATGGACTTGTGCTGATGCATCAGATGGGGCATGACGGCATCCAAAGAGCCCTGCCATTTACAGGAAGCACCAGGGCATGGACAGGAGTAAGGCCTAAACTCACAGAGCTCTTCATGGTCTGCTTTTTCTGTGTGTGGCAGAGTTATTTCACATCCAGAAGAGGCATATTTACAAGGGAAAAGTACTGAGTTGGCCACTTTCTCCATAGCCAAGTTGCGAATAGATCCCAGCGGGCCCCGGCAAGTGGGACAACATGTGAGCTTTGGGCGACAGTTGCTACAAACAAGATGGCCACTCTGACACTGAAGAATGGGTGGCAACACATAGTCAAAGCAGACCGGACACTCAAAGAGACTCGCCAAGTCATTGTTGGATGCAGTTGTGCCAGTCAGCGCTGGCACCCTCTGTGACGGTGGACACTTCGAGGTACCAGTAGGTAGTGCTGTAGCAGTCTGGCGGCTCATTTCTGTAATAAAAAAGAAAAATACAGTAAATGGAGGCAGGAGAAAAACTACAAGTCAAACTTACTACATCAATCACTTCTAGAAACCAGAAATACTTTACATGCAAAATTTACTGTGAACAAAAGAATAAAGGGAAATAGGATCAACACAAAAATATACACAAAAATATAAATAAAAATAAATGTATGTTTTGTTACTAGCTACAGAGTTACAGTCAAGGCCTACAACAAGTCCACAAAAATGGAACTGAAAGGTAAGTTTATTTCTGTGCAAACAATGTTGAAATCCATGTATGAGTCTTCAAAATGCTCGTGAAAATGTGTTGAAGAAAAAAAAACTAAGCAAATTAAAAAATATATGCCAATATACTTACCTTTTAATTTCATTTTCCACAAACATTTCTGGAGTACCCTTATATGGTTCAAATGTAAAGTTTCATCTGCTCTGACATTAATAGTGAACGGTATATTCTGGAGAAAGGAATAGGGAGTCACATGGGAAAGGACCTGCTACTAGTGAGTCTTTTCCAAAACCATGCTCATCAGCTAGATATTAACCTTACTTCTTAATTAGCAATGCCCACCTGAAAAATGAGGGGAAAAATGGAAGGCCATCCTCAAAAGCTTTTAGTTTAAAATGTAGACATAGTATGTCATTCTATACATAAATCAGTTGTAACCTACAAGGGCAAGAGTCAGAAAAGAAGGTAGAAAAGAGGAATAAGACCACCACTGTCAAACCCACAACCTGGGTGGGCTGGTAATGATTTCCTTGCACCCCAAAGCTCAGCAGTGTGGAGCTAACATTCACCAGCAGGATGACACTATTTAACAGGTAAATGCCATCTGAAAAAAAAAAGATCAACAAATCACTAACTGGTCACACTAAATCAAATGTAAACAAAACACTGTTTCTTTGCTGGGATATGATAGCAAAGGATATGTGTCTTAGGAATAACAAAAATATCCACCTTTTGATATTCTAAGATCATATTCCCAATCAATATAAATATAATAAGCCATGTTTCTAAAGTTTAAGCCTAGGTTTAATGTTTTTCCCTCAATTATAACCAGGATTCTGTGACAAAGAACGTAAAAAAAAAAAGTCAGTCACCAATGTGACCAAGTAAAATGCAATTTAGGTCCCAGATTACTGAAGTGGCTACCAACTTGATACACTTAAATGTGAGAACTAGCTGCAGTTCAGGAAAAAAAAAAAAAAAAAACAAAACGGTTTAGTTCCCTTGTCACTAAAAAGGAGACAAAAGTAGCTCTGAATTGCAGTGTAACATGGCTCATCCGATGGAGGCAGAACATGAATCAATTCCCTCTGTGGCCCTGGGTAACCAGTTGATCTGTCCCCCAACAAAAGTGCTCTCTTTAGAATGCATTTTCCCTGATTAGATTCTTTGTGCAAAGGAGCAACCATCCACTTTACATCACTTGTAAAACAATGGGCTTTAGCACTGCCAAAGCACCTTGTCTCAGTATGCGGTCCTCATACTTCAACATCTACTTTATGCTGCTCATTCAAGTGAACATGATTGTAAAATAGTTCCTTGAACACCAAAGTCTTAAGCTATCAATGCCTTTCAAATTACTAAATCAAAACAGCTAACCACAAAAGGGCAGTGGATCCAGTTTGTATTTAACATAATGTAGCGACTAAGAAAACACTTTTGTTTATTCTACTTCTTGACCTAGAAACGTATCCTTATCATCAAAAGCTCAAGCTCACATTACAACATATCTTTATTTTGTAGAAATCACATTTTAATTCCTACTTAAAGTGTATAAAACAAATGGAAGGCAGCCAGACATTTCCTGTGGATAGAGGCATCACGAGGCAGCAACTGCTAAAAGCTCCAAAGCTCCAAGGGCGGAACCCAGACAGAGCTTCAACCAGAACAGGAATCCCCACCACACAGCAGCCCTGCAGCAGGAACCAAGGACTGCTCTGCACAAGTCTGATTTAAAAAGAAAAAGGTGCAGCAACCCAAATCAAACCTCTGAAAGGGTTACATTATGCCACAGCCTAAGCCAGTCAGCTTTCAGAACCACCACTTTCAAATTTGTTTCAGCAACCCACTCTTCATGCCAATACCTTTTCTCTTCCTTGTCCTACCAGCTGGTAAACATGTGAGCAAGACTCCCCTCCAGGAGTACAGAAAAGGTAGAGTGGGCTTTCCCGTCATGAGAGGTCAAGGCAGTGCATTGATTGTCCCCAAGAAGCCAAGACAATTTAACAGAAGCCCTTATGATCCAACACACAGGAGACTCCCTCCAATCCACATCCGAGGCCGGGCTCCATACATTCCAGCTGCTCACTTCTCAGAAGCACCACACTGGAGGCGGAGAAATGAAGCCTTTTTGCCCCAGGAGGTGACCACACTTCCCTTGAGAGCTCAAATTCGCCTGCGTCTCCAAAAATGGGAGCCATGGCTGAGCCGTCCCCCGCCGAGCCCTAAGCCTTCGGCTGTCTCCCAAGTTTGCCTTCTCCAGATTCACTGGCTAGGCTCCTGCCATGAAGACCGGGACTGCATCAGGATAGTCATCTGGAGTCCAATGCTGGGGGCAGAGGACTGCCAGGGGCCCGGATCTGGCTCCAGCTGGAGAAGCCAGCTCCCAGCCAGAGCGCCAAGGCTGGCCAAGGGCTCACCGCGCCCAGGGCGGCGGCCGCCTACCCACTGGAGTGGGGCGGGGCGCTCAGGGCGGGGCTCCGCCCCAAGCCCGGCCAGGCCCAGCCCAGGGCCATCCCACACTGGCAAGAAGCCCAGGGAGCTCCTACCGGGTGCGGGGCCCCCAGTTCCAAGACATCATACTCTCAGCCTTGCCACCAGTTAAATTTTTGGTTGAACCATGTTTCTGTGTGTCAAAACAGTGGAAACCGCAGTTTCTTATGGTTTCAATCTAACAGCTACACAAGGTAGAAGGGAAACTACCACCAGACATGAGCTCCTGGCATGCATCACACTTCCAAGGGAACTCACATTTTTATAGAGTAAGAGCACTCAATCATCTACAGTATTTGCCAGGCATGAACTACCAAATTCCAATTAAAACTTTTGTCTCCATTTCTAGCCCCGTCAGCGGCATACTTTAAAACTCCCCTTTCTGGGAGACCGCAATCAGAATGGTAAAGACGCTTATGCCACATTAAACTCCTCTTCAATCTCCAAACTGGGATTGTATTCTCATCCCACTCTGGGAAAGCCATCTTAAACACTCATTAAACTCGAGTGGCTTGTTTTGTTTTTAAACAAGCATTACCCTTGCCCCAATAAAGTCCTGTGGGCCTCAGATTTGCATTGCATCAGCTACCACTTTCAGAGGTTTAACCTGTCATTACATCATGCCAAGGGCCGCCTTTAAACTTGGAAACAGCCGGTGTGGAGAAGCAAGCTTAATTCAGTGAGTTGCACACTACTCTCCTTTCCACGGCAAATTTTAACTCTCATTACTTCCTCACCCTATTAATGTCCCATGTTCAATCACCTCAACCTCATTTTAATTAGGCTACACAAAACAGCAGGAACAGAAATACATGCATAACTGAAAGCAAGTACTGTCTGGCCCACAATGTAAATTATTAGCACCTGTTATTTTTTTACTTTCTTACTAGAAAGTAATTCTAGATCTTCAGCTTTTGCAGCAGAAGACTTCAAATATTTCAGGCACAGAAACTTGTTCAAATAGAACACAGAACCTGAGCACATAAACAAGTAAAGGGGAAGACAGATTATCCGCAAGCAAAAAAAAGAAAAAAAATGCTGTACACTGCTCGCCAAACCCGCAAAGGACTGTACAGAGCCTTGTGGTGCTGTCTGAACGCCAGTCATCTACGGAACAAACTCCTCCACAACTGAGTCAGAACAGTAACGTGCACTCCTGGAGTCGTGTGCAGTGGGACTCGAACCCAGGCCCCATCAGTTGCTAAGTAAAACATCCTAGCATAAAATGAGTTAAAGTTACTTTAAATATTTAAGTGTATGCCCCAGACCTGAGCTAACTGCCTGAGATCCTCAATTGGAGAGACTAAGAACTTGCAGATTCCAAACACAGATGCCTTAGGCTTATAAAGGCCATCAAATGTCTGCCAACAACCAATCACCATTCAACTTATTTTTTTTTCATTCAACTAATTTTTAACACAACAAACTTTATTTCTCAACTAGGTAAAAAAATTATTTACATTAGTTTCACAAATAGCTAAATATCATAAAAACTACATTTCCCTAAGTCCTAAGTCCAAGGCTTCCAAAAATATACTTACCAAAAACCTACAGCTCAGCAAGAGTGCACCATCACCCACGTCATCTCAAGCTTAGGCTGCTACACAGTTTTGCATGTCAGGCCAGTGCTGTGGTACGCTGAGTTAAGCCACAGTCTCTGACTCCAGCACTGCACGTGAGTGCAGATTCCAGTCCTGACCTCTTCACTTTCAACCAGGTGTTTAGGCCCTTGTCATCCACCTGAGAAATCAGATCGAGTTCCAGGCTCCTGGCTTCAGTCCAGCCTAGCCCCAGTTGTCATGGTCGTTTGGGGATTGAACCAGCAGATGGAATATCTGCTTCTGTATGTGTTTCCCTAACTTCTTTTCAAATAAATAAATTTTAAAAATTTAAATAGATGTTCATCAAATCAAAACATTTCTTTAAAACAATTTATCTTTTAGAGAGAAAAATCTTCTATCCAACAGCTAGGGTTGGGCCAGGCTGAAGTCAAGAAACAGGAACTCTATCCAGGTCTCCCACGTGGGTGTGTGGGCCCACATACTTGGGCCACCTCCTGCTTTCCAAGATGCATAAACATGAAGCCATCAAGGGAGAGCATCTGGGACACAATGGATGCCCAGACAGGATGCTGGCATCATAGGTGGCAGCCTCCTCTCCCAACCACCTGGGAGAGCAGGATAAAATTCTGGGTTCCTGGCTTCAGCCTGGCCTAACCACAACACCATGTCTTAAATCAGAACTTGTTAATTTCATGGCTATTTAACTGTTGAATTGCAACATTAACATACTGCAAGTGGAAGAACATAAATGAAACTGAATTATTTACCTTATATTTTATCTTCAAGAAGGAACAAAGGGAATACGAAAGGAGGGAGACAGAGAGAATCAAGGAAAAAGAAAGTTTCCCAACTCTTACACATGAACAGCCAAAACTGAGCCAGCCGAAGTCAGGAGCCTGAATTCAATGACTGTCTCTTGGGTACAGGGCTCCATCACATGTAACATCACCACTTGCTATCTCTTATGTTGCACATGAGTAAAACCAGCAAAGTAAGAATTTGGACACAGGCAGAGGGACAGCCTTCTCAAGTGGCACTTTAGCTGCTAGACCCGATGCCTTCCCTTAAACTTCTCGATTCCATGAGCAACTTTCGCTCCCCTTCACGAATACTTGTAAAAGTTTAAAATTGAGAACTGTACTCCAGTATGTAAATTTTGTTTTTTTAAAGATTTATTTTTATTATTTTTTTCATTGGAAAGGCGGATATACAGAGAGGAGAGACAGAGAGGAAGATCTTCCGTCCGATGATTCACTCCCCAAGTGAGCACAACGGGCCGATACTATGCCGGTCCGAAGCCAGGAGCCTCTTCCGGGTCTCCCACGCGGGTGCAGGGTCCCAAAGCTTTGGGCCGTCCTCGACTGCTTTCCCAGGCCACAGGCAGGGAGCTGGAAGGGAAGCGGGGCTGCCGGGATTAGAACCGGCGCCCATATGGGATCCCGGGCGTGCTAGGCGAGGACTTAACCACTTGCGCCACCGCGCCGGGCCCCAGTATGTAAATTTTGTAACAATTACTGTAAACCAAGTTACAAACAGAATATACATGATATTAAAAAGCTACACACTGAACAAACCTTTGAATTAGTTATTTGTGGTAGAATACTAGTAGTTTTCAGCTGAATTTCCTTCAAAAGGAAAAAAAAACTGCTTTTTAAAAAGATTAGCCTGGGGCTAGCATTGTAGAACAGCAAGTTAAGCCGCTGCCAACATTACATATGGGCACCAGATCATGTCCCAGCCACATCACTTCCAAACCAGCTCCTTGTTAATGGCCAGGGAAAAGCAACAGAAAATGCTCGGGCCCGTCTCCCACATGGGAGACCTGGAGGAAGTGTTGGACTCTTCGCCTCAGCCTGGCCTAGCCTCAGCTGATGCAGCCATTTGGGGAAGAAATCAGAGATGGAAGATCTGTCTCTCCCATGCTCTCTGTAACTCTGCCTTTCCAATAACCTTCTTTGAAATTTAAAAAGTTAGAGCTTTTCTCTTTCCCAGAATATCTTTTTGCAAAAAGGTGCTGTCTACATTTGACATTATGATGGGTACATCTACCATTTGTTTCAGTTAGACTTTGTACTTATTTTCAGATTCTGTTGCTTCCCACCCAGGGAGCTGGGTCACAGTTCCCTGCTGCACCTCTATCCAAATGCCCAGGGTTCGAGTCCTGATTCCAGCTTCCTCCTAATGCAGACCCTGCAAGGCAGCAGTGAGGGCACAAACAGGTGGGTCCTCGCTACATACTTTGGTAGAACTGGGCTTTTATTCCTGGTTCCCAACTTCAGTATGGCCCAGTCCCAACTGTGCAATTAGTGAGGTGAGCTGTCTGCTTAAGGGAAAAAAAAAGTAAAAAACAACCAATGCCAATAGCTTAAAAACTCAAAACCACAAAGTTAAATCATATTATGAAATAAGGCAAAATTTTTTTTTTCTTAAAAATTCACTTATTTTGAAAGAAAGTGACAAATATCTCCATCCACCAGTTCACTCCCCAAATGGCCACAATAGCAGCAGATGAGAGCTGATCTCTGAGTTCCCAGCCCAGGCTGTGGTGGTTAACTCATCAGTGACCCAGTAGACAGCCCAGGCTGTGGTGGTTAACTGATCAGTGACCCAGCAGACAGCCCAGGCTGTGATGGTTAACTCATCAGTGACCCAGTAGACAGAAGCTTTGTTTGCTTGCTCTTTCTGGCTCTATCACTCCATCTTTCTAAGATTTTGTTTATTTTTATTGGAAAGGCAGGTTTACAGAAAGATCTTCCATCTACTGGTTCACTCCCCAAATGGCTGCAATGACTGGAACTAGCCCATCCGAAGTCAGGAGCCTCTTTCAGTCTCAAGGCTTTGGGTCATTTTCCACTGCCTTTCCAGAGAGTCAGTTGGGAAGTAGAGCAACCAGAACATGAACCAGTGGGGATATGGGCCCTTGAAGAGGATTAGCCTGTTGAGCTACCATGCCAGCCCCTATTAACCTGCTGTTCAAATAAACAAATTAAAAAAAAAAATCAGGCATTGATATCTAGTTAGGGTTTGAGAATCAGATTGTCTCTGGAAACAGAGAGGAGCCTTCCTAAGAGAAGGTAAGATAACTCTCAACAGTTAATGACTTAAGGGGTTATTAAAGGAAGAGTTAGCCCTAGACTACAATGGTTCTCAAACTTTATATGCTTATTAATTACCTAAGCATCTTTTACTGCGGATTCTGACTTAGTAAAAAACTAAAAGTTTGCATTTTTTTTAGCAAGTTCTCAGGTGTAGTCAATGCTGCAGGTTCACACAGAGGCCCACGAAGAAAAACATGCTAGACGGAAATCAGCAAAGGAAACCAGAACTCAAGGGAAGACAGGAATTTCAAGGCAAAGACATTCAACTCTCACATGCAGCATTAACATAAGCTACAACTGGTTTTCATTACATTCTCCAGAGAATTTGCAATGTCTCTAAAGAAGTACAGGAGAGCAAGGCAATACGCAGACATGTCTAACCACCAAAGAACAAATGGGAACCCTGAGGAAGAAATCAGATCAAGTAGTGAATTAAGGTAAGCCATTCAGCAATGACGACCTTGGTGGGGCCCACATTGTGCCAGGAACACTAACATCCCGGTATGACTGTCAGTTGAGAGCCCTAGCTGCTCCACTTCCGATCCAACTTCTTGCTAAATGTGCCTGGGGAACAGCAGGAAGATGGTCCAAGTACCTGGATCCATGATACCATGTGGAAGATCCAGGTGGGAGTTTCAAGGTTCCTGGCCTGTGCCAGGGCTACCCAGGTCTCTTACAGCCTAATTTAAAGCGCTAACCAGGAGATAGAAGATCCCCTTCTGTCTCTCCCTCACACTGTGTAACTCTGCCTTTCAAATAACCTGAAAAAAGAAGAAATGGTAAGATTGGCACAAAAGGATTAAGCTTATGACTCCATAAACTTATAATTACAAATGAGAATGCAAATATTATAAATCCTGCAAGATAATATTAGGATTCATAGCAAATCTATGTTTAGCCTTTACCCTGTTTCCTGTTCCACAGCTCAACCTGTGTCAAGTGAGAGTGCTTTTCTGTACACTAACAAATGACTAAGTGTTGGGGACTCCTGGACGGCCTCAGGATGGGTGCTACTTGCCATAATAAACCTTGTCATTAAGGAGTTTGACCTTTCACTCATGTCTTCACTCCATCTCAGGTTTTTGAGCCATTCTAGCAATAATCAAACTTAAGGAGTACTAACAGCTTCAATTTTTAGCCCATCAGAATTAGAATTCTGAGTTATATATAAAACTGTTCAAAACATTTGGGGCTTTTCTCTACAAAATACCTCTTTGTAATAAGGGTGATTTCTACATTTATTTGACAGAAGCACAGTTTACAAACCTTATAATCAGTAGGAGGGAGTAGGGGAAGGCAGTCTTCGTGGAACTGAGTGTTCTAATCGATGGGATCTAACTCCATGGAGACAGAACCGAACCACAGGATGCCTGTGTCTACTTGCTGCTGGGAGCAGAAGAAATCCTCCACAGAGCTGATGTCAGTCATCATGTGATGTGTTGAAAGTGTAACTGGAGCCAATTTTTCCCTTCCATATATAGAACTAAATAAATAAGAAAAAAACTATGATTAAGGAAGTAATCGAAATGTTGGCATACTCCCAGCTTCAATCAGGAACCCAGCTTGAATCAGGAGGTGACTAGTGACCTCTGGAAAGTAAACCTGAAGATACTGTCAAACGGAAGTCAGATTTTAAGAAGCTAAAGAAGATGCTGCATGTTAGTAACACCTAATTTAAATTTATTCATTTAAAAGGCAAAAAGACAAATTTTTTAGTGTCTGGAGCCTTTTGTAAAAGTGGCTGCCAAAACTACAGCCCACAGTGCAGCTGCCTATTTTTGTAAATAGTACAGGAGTATAGTTCTGCCCATTCATTGACATACTGACTACTTTCATGCTACAAACATAGAAATTTATATGAAAGAAAAAATTCGGCTTTACTTGTTAAAACTGAGAACCCTAACAGCAGGCACGAGGTGCAGCTCCTATGGCATTCCACATCCAAGTTCTTGGGTTTGGGTCTCAGCTCTGCTTCCAATTCCAGCTTCCTGTTAATGTGTACCCTGGAAGCTACAGGGACCGGCTCTAGTAGTTAGGATGCTATCACCGACGCAGGAGACACAGAAACCTCTCTGGGCTCCAGGCTTTTGCCCTAGTTGTTGAGGGCACTTGAGAAGCAAACTAACAGATGATAATTGAACTTGAACTCTCTCCTCCCCTCTATCTTTTAGATAAAATAAAAATACGTTTTAAACAAC